TCACACAGTAATATATTATTATTGTCAGATAACGTGATTTCAAAATTCAGGAAAGCTGCAAAACCAAAAACAAACTCAAATGTCTGAATTCATTTTATTTGATTTAGCTGATGTTATCTGAGAGGACTGCAGGAACCAGGAATCACTTAACCATGCATCTTCATGAATAACATTAAGCCTTACTACAATATAAAGGGATAGTTATAGAATCTTTTACACCAGTAGGGGTTGTCACCAGGGCTGGACTGGCCATCGGGCATACTGGGCAATTTGCCCGGTGGGCTGCTCATGATTCTTCATTTTTATGGGCCAATGGGGTTTCATTTCTTTACTTTTTTTTTTTTAAGCTATAAATGAATAGTGGTGAATTGGCCAGTTGGTCATGATCGACTCTGGACTGGACCAATTACAGCCGAGGAGGTCAAACTCTAAAGTTGAGGTGAAAAAAGGAACGTGATTTGTCCCGTACGACTTCAGCTAGAAAGTTGCTTATTCAATCATGAAACTGATCAGTGATCAGCTGATCGGCTTTTCTCTCTGCGCCAGAAAGAGGAAACTGATGGAGCAACAGCACGTTTAAGCTTGATCAGCTGATCCTTTTTTTTACATAGCTGACAGCTGGGTCTAGCAAACTTTTGCCAGGGGAGCAGGTAGGGCATTAACAGGGAAAGGGGGACACAAAGAAATACTTTTCTTTTTTATTCTCATTTGAAATGTCTGACTTAATAAATAATTATCTGAATCTTACAACCAAAGTTTTCATCTGATGTAAAATGTATAGAAATCCATTATTGTATTCAGTAAATATTAAGTCTAGTGTATACCCTAGTAAGTTATAGTATTCTTTCCTTTGGGAAGGTACCATCTGTGCAGTCTGCAATTCTGTTGAAGAAAGATGTTGAATCTATTTAATTACTGGAGAAAAATAATAGATTTCTGTGCATTTGTTTTATACATGCATTAAATTACAATCGGTTTTGTCAATTGACCCTTTAAGACCTACCATAGAACCAAGTCCGCCAGAGCTTACTTTAAATGGCCTGCATTTGTATAGCGCTTTACTCAGTCCCTAAGGACCCCAAAGCGCTTTACACTACATTCTTTCATTCACCCATTCACACACTGGCAATGGCAAGCTACATTGTAGCCACAGCTGCCCTGGGGCGCACTGACAGAGGCGAGGCTGCCG